TCTACCATGGCTTCCCTAATGCCAGGAAGAACAGACAACCATATAAAAAATCATTGGAATACAGTTTTAAAGAGACGAGTATTGCAGAAGAATGTGTCAAGAACAATGGCAAACAAACCACCACCACCACCACCGTCACCGCCGCTGCCGCCGGCGACAACAAGTCCAATTCACGAAGGGTTTTCCGGTGAGAGTTTGAGCTCAAACGACAAATCCACTCTCATTGTTGATTCAACGGCTCTAGAGAGTGCACTAATTCAGACCATTGAAACGCCGACCGCCGGAAATATGGACATGCTGCCGGCGAATGATCGGCCGCCGTTGAGTTCCTCCGGCGATTTTTGGACTGACCCTTTATGGCTGGACTCAGATTTCGACCTGCCATTTGATTATCAAGGCCTTGGAGAACCCATTTTTTCCAAATTTGGCTTGGATGAATATATTTTTCAAGAAGAATTATATTAAATAATCAATTTTTTTTTGTTCCGTGACAAACCCATAGAGAGCTTACTCGATTCGGCAGAGATATATATAATAAACTGAACTATACTGTTATCAATATAATCCTCGGGTCAGTATTCTAATTTGCATTTTTTTTTTCTGTTGTTTGTGTTCATCTCGATTGAGTGTATAAGTTGTTGTGCTGTTCTAACCAAAGGTATTAAATTGACCGTAAATGAACCGATTCAAAGAAATTAAATATAAAATAGAATTTATTTTAAAATTGGGTAATATTTTTTTAAAAATATGAAATAATGAGATGATTTAGTTATGAGCTTGATAAATTATATTTATTGATTAAAGTCATTGATATTTAACAAAACAAAAAAGGAGAAGACTTTTTTCTTAATTGAATTATTATTATTAATAATATTTTTTTTTCATACATATTTGAAAATTATATAGATCTAGTGTCCACATCGTTTTAATATTTTTTAATTTTTTTTTGCACGCGTCAATTCATATTAATTCGAGTGTCGATTTCATATTTATAATTTTTAAATGTTTAATCTTAATCATTTTTACCACATTTCTTCGTTTTTGTTCGTAAGGGGTTTATGATAGGAGTGTATATTCAACCCGACAATCCGACAACCCGGACCAACCCAACCCAAACTATAAGGGTTGGGTTGGGTTGGATTAGCATTTCAGGTAGAGTTGGGTTCATTTTTCTAAACCTGAACTGAATCGATTCGGTTTTGGGTTCGTGGGCAAAACCTTCGAGTTGACCCGAGCCAATCCAACCAACCCGAACTTTTGGGTTGGGTAAAAAAAAAATCCCAACCCAACCCAACTCAACTCGGACCATGTATACCCCTAGTTTATGGGTGTCAGGCTATGGCCGATGTATCAAGAGACATGGGATGACATCACGATATCCATTGTTGGTCATTATCGCTCTCTTTTGTGTGTATAATCATGAAATTAAATCCTAATTTTTCATCGTACATCTTAAAATATGAAGGTTTTGATAATATCGACCGATAATTAGTTATGAATATAAGTTATTTTATACGAAGGTAAAAAGATAAAAGTAATAAGGTAACGAGCGTATCACTAATATTTATCTAAAAAAAATTATTGTTGACTATAGAAAGAGAGAACAGGATGAAAATGAAATATTAGATATGAATGCAAAATAAATAATAATTTTAATTTGTTGTTGTTGGCATTATAATTATTTTCAAAGATAATAGATTTTCAGGTTCTAAAAATGATAGAAACTATATAGTAAGGCCACCATATTTGAAAATTTAAATTAATGTCACATTCTTATATCCTTTCAAATTATGGATTACATTGCATCTAAACTCGTACCATAATTAAAAACTTATGATGACGTTAATTTATGTTAATTAATTAATTAGTTTGTCTCGTATGAATATAGTAACGATATTTTTCTTCCCCACGAGATTTGACTAAATAACATATAATTTTTATAAAATTTTTAAATACGAGTCATTTTAGAATGTTTTATTTTCATTCTTCCTTTTTAAAACAATTTCTAGAAGGTCTGGGGAGAGATTTCCACACTCTTCCACCCCCTTGGAGACCTAACATTCTCGTTGGCACACCCCCGAGTGACTGGCTCTGATATCATTTGTAATAGCCCAAGCCCCACCGCTATTAAATATTATCTGCTTTGGCCCATTACGTATCGCTGTCAACCTCGTGGTTTTAAAACGCGCCTGCTAATAAAAGGTTTCCACACTCTTGTAAAAAAATGTTTCGTTCCTCTTTAGATATGGGATCTCATAGAATCACTTGAAAAGGAATATGGATCTCGGTTGTATAGTTAGTTACTTTTAGTTATTTTGAGTGTCTTTAACCATTATATTCTTAATAAAAAAAAATCTCTATAACATCCCGGTATACGATGGATATATGAATGAACCAATACCACTTTTCTTTTCAGTGGCTCAATGATAAGAACTGCATGGTTAAATGTGCTTTACTTAAGTATTTCTATATTGGGTGACCTCTTGAAAATTTTCTTAGACGAACGTATTGAAAGAACTCGTGTTAGTCTATGGAGATAGTTTTCATTCTTAGAAACGATAAGTAAGTAACCTGACCATATAGTCGGGGAAGTAGGGAGTTTTTATTTTTATTTATTTTTTTATTTTTATATTTTAAATAATTCAAACAACTACTTCATAATTTCTTCTTCATTTTTAAAATAATAATTATTAATTAAAGTCCAAAAGGTGTGGCTTATTTTAAACGCGGGATTGAAATGTATGTAAATAATATGTATTTTTTTAGCACAAAATAATTGATTTATTAATTATATTTTCTAATTACCAGGATGGCCTAGCAATGAATATCCACCGTCGATGAAATATTATTGCGCTGAGATTTGAAATTCCACCGTCCGATCAATCAACGAATAAATTAATTAAATGTTTTGGAGTGACGTCAGTTGAACATGACATCACTATGTTTTTGGATGGATTTAAAAAAACAAATTTTTTGGAAATTATTAATTGTATTACAAAATTAAAATAATAATAATAAATAAAGAAAAGAACCCAAAAGTTGACCATTATTCGTGGGATTTTGAATCTTTTTTTATAAGTAAACACCAATTCCCTCAACCTAGACCAATTCAATTAATTTTTTTTTGGAGGACCTAAAATAAAATAAAAAATTCATCTAAAATTTCATCTCGAGAGGGAAAAAATATTCCTTATAAAAGTGTAGAAACTCCTCCCTAACAAATGCGCTTCAAAATTGTGAGACTGATGACGATACATAACGAGCTAAAGTAGACAATATCTATTAGGGGTGAACTTGAACTGTTATAAATAGTATTAGAGTTAGATACCGAGTTGTGTGATACATAACCTGTAACGAACCAAAACCGAAAATATCTACCAGCAGTGGGCTTGAGCTGTTACAACTTGGATCATAATTATGTTATATATTATTTTTTTGGTTCAATTACCACGTGAGAATAAATAAATAAATTAAAACTTCTAATATTCTAATAAAAAAAATATATATATATTGAAGTTGATTTATATTATAAGCTTATTAATTTACGGGCCGTGACGAAAATATTCTTAGGAATATTTGTTATTTTTCGAAAATGATTAAGATTTATGTTATTTATTAATATTTTGGAGATGTTATTTTAAAGGGGTATTCGAGCAGGTTTTATTTTCATTTAGTTGAAAATATTTTTATTTTATCTAATTTTAATTAAAATAAGTAGAATTAATAATAAAAAAATCAAGGTAAATTATTAATGATTAGTGACAACAATACAAAAACGTCATATTAGCCACGTCTACATTTTATGTCAACAAAGCCTCAATAAATCATAATTTGATCAACACCTTTAAAAATAAAACATTATTTTAAATAATATTATATAACTTCATTATTAGTATATTCCTTTTTAATTTCTTTAATCTCGATTTATTGATATGACCCATATAATAAATTTATATAACGCTGAACTACATAAAATTTAAATTTTATTTATTAATTTATTAATTAAAAAAATTAATAATCCTCGTGGTTGTGACCAATCATTTGATCCGGAGACCGAATAACTATTTGTTTTAGAAAATAAAATTTTAAATTATTTAAATTTTAACATGAATATAAATATTATATAACAGTGAGTTCTTTTTGTGAGCGCAATCTCAAAATCTTGTTAGCTCATAGACGGCCTCTTCAAGCTGAACGAGTCGAAAGCCCTAAAAGAGAATGTCTTATTATTGACTGAACTAGCGGGACAATAAAATAGTATCGTCTTTGAAACTATGCTGTACCGACTCAAAATGCTATTCACAAGCTGATCGAGATAGTTCCAATAGTGTCCTTATCAAGAGAAAGTTGAGGATGAATTCAGTACACTATAACACAAAGTATAAGAGTATGTGTTCACAAATACAAGTTAGAACAATAGCTTTTTGGTCATCGGTCCTCGAGTTCAATTAAGAATATTTCTTTTCATCGGAGCATAAACAAATTCTAGTAAACTCATTCTTGCATATCGGCCCACGCATACTCGGAACATCTGGGTCTGTTATCACCTAACAATCACAAACATTCAAAATTTTAAAATTAAGGTCATGCATACACACGAAGCGTTTGTCATTTTAAAAGGGTATTTAAAAAATTCATTCTAAACTAATCCTAAAACATAAAAATAAATTGTTCGTTTTCATATGGGTCTTACGCGGACTCGAAGTATCTGAGTGAGTTATCACCTAACGATCATAAATATTCAAAATGATAAAATTAAGGTCATGCATGCACAGTGAACACCTGTAATTTTAAAACTATATTTTAAAAAATCATTCTAAACTGATTCTAAAACATCAACATAACTTGTTCGTTATAGAATGAATGATCGTTATTGTATCAGTATAAACAAACTTTTGATGAAACGATAATTATGAACTATTTGGAATGCATCGAAAGTGTATTGAAAAAAAAAAAAAAAAAGGGATGAAGTTTGTGGCCATAGTGAAGCGACGAGGCAAATAGGCTTATCTTATCACTTTAGTGGGCATCAAAATTCAGGAACCTCACGAACAATCTCTCAAATCTCTACTCCACTCACTAGTAGATCATTACCCACATATCAATTTCTGCTCCATCCATGGCTTCCTCCTCTCTTTCTTCTGCAACATCCTCACAGGTATCTATGATTGTTTTTTGTTATGAATTTCGATTGAAATTTGTTGCCGATTGTTGTTGTTTTCATTCAGCTATGCGCCGGCAGAAGCGCTTTGTTCTGTCCCTCTCAAGCGCTTTTGAGGAAACCTAAAAGCACTCAAATGGGGGCGAAGGGAAAGGGAATGGGCGGCAAAATCAGTTGTCAGGCCACGAGTATTCCGGCTGATCGAGTGCCGGATATGGAGAAAAGGAAAACCATGAATCTGCTTCTTCTGGGCGCTATTGGGCTTCCCACAGCTACCATGTTGTATCCTTACACCTATTTCTTTGTCCCTCCTGGGTAAGTTTTCCTCTCTGATCCTGTAATGGTTGGCTGGTTAGGTGGATGGTTGCGATGGAATTTGACCGTTACAAATGGTATTAGAGTTAGACACCGAGCGGTGTGCCAGCGATGACGCTGGGCTCCCAAGGGAGTGGATTGTGGGATCCCACATTGGTTGGAGAGGGGAACAATGCATTGCTTATAACGATGTGGAAACCTCTCCCTAGTAGACGAAAGAGGACAATATATAGTAGCAGTGGACTTAAACCATTACAAATGGTATCAAATCTAGATACAAGTATGCTGGACTCTCAAGGGAGTGGATTGTGAGATCCCATTTCAGTTGGAGAAGGCAACGAAACATTGCTTATAAGGATGTGGAAACTTCTTCCTAGTAGATGCGTTAGTAGATGCGTTTTAGAACTTTGAGGGCAAGTCCAGAAGGAAAACTTAAAGAGGACAATATATGCTAATGGTGGACTTGGACGGTTACAAATGGTATCAAAGCCAGACACCGAGCTGTGTGCCAGGGAGTACGCTAGGCTCCCAAGGGGGGTGAATTGTGATATCCCACATCGGTTGGAGAGGGGAACGACACATTGCTTATAAGAATGTGGAAACCTTTCTCTAGTAGACGCGTTTTAAAACTTTGAAGGGAAGCCAAAAGAAGACAATATATGCTAGCGGTGGACTAGGATTGACATGATGTATAGCTTCAATTGGTAGGAATGAATGTGTGATATTCTACATTGGTTGGGGAGGAGAACAAACCACCATTTATAAGGGCGTGGAAACCTTCCCCTAGTAGACGTGTTTTAAAGCCTTGAGGGGAAACCCGAAAGGAAAAGCGCAAAGAGGACAATATTTGCTAGTGGTGGATCTGGGTCGTTATAGAATGAGATTAGACATGTTTTGACTGCCTAGTTTGATGAAATGCCTTCTTGTATAAGTACATTATTATGATAAACGAAGGTTAAATTACAAGTTTAGTCTCCAAAATTTGAAGATTATGTCTAATAAGCTCGAGTTTTCAATTTTGTGTCGATGAAACGTGTCTAAGCTAATAAGTTCATAGCGTGCTGCCATGTCTGTACAATTGGGCTTAAAAGAATAACTATGATTGTTCACCTGGTAGCTTTTTGAGCCTTTTTGTGTATACAATGACAGTACTGGAGGTTCTGGTGGTGGAGTCGTGGCCAAGGATGCTCTTGGAAATGATGTTTTGGCTGCTGACTGGCTTAATGTGCATGGCCCTGGAGACAGAACTCTCACACAGGGGTTGAAGGTGCTGTAACTCTCTTAACTTTGCTTAATGATTGAACCCTGAGTTCGCCTAGTGGTTAATAAACGTCGTGTAAACGATAAGGGACTAGGGTTTCCTTTTCGGGCTTCCCTTCAAGGTTTTTAAGACATTCTACTATGGCTAGAGTCTAGCCCTACTCTGATCAGTACCTCACATCGTTCGGTAACCTGACTCTAATACCGTTTGTAACAGCCAAGCCCATCGCTAGGTTTTTAAAAGGTGTCTGCTACAGAGATGTTTTCACACCCTTAATAAAGAATGCTTTGTTTCCCACTCCAATCGATGTGGGATCTCACAATCCCCACCCCCTTTGGAGCCAGCGTCCTCGATGGCACACCGCATGATATCTACCATTTGTAACAGCCCAAGTCCACCGCTAGTAGATATTATCCTATTTGAGCTTTTCCTTTCAGACTTCCCCTCAAGTTTTTTAAAACGTGTCAATTAGGGAGAGGTTTCCACTCCTTATAAAGAATACTTGGTTTTCCTCTCCCATTGACGTGGGATCTCACATCGAGCCATTTGAAATGCGAAGCTTACACAATTCACGAGTTTCTTAATGTTAATTACTGTGCTGTTATGAACAAAAGCTATGTACAGTAAAAGGCAATCTGTTGATGATGGATTTCAGGGTGATCCTACCTACCTCGTAGTCGAAAAGGATAAAACGCTCGCAACGTTCGGAATCAACGCAGTTTGCACTCACCTCGGATGCGTCGTGCCATGGAATGCAGCTGAGAACAAGTTTATCTGCCCATGCCATGGATCCCAGTACAACGATCAAGGCAGAGTCGTCCGAGGACCGGCACCTCTGGTAATACCTTTGCTTTCATGCCATTGCAAGGCCTTCGTTTAAACAACCAACAATCTTGAACTGTTAGATTATACATTGGTTAGTTACTAAATGAAGTTCAAATTTTCTCTGTTGGGACAGTCTCTTGCATTGGTTCATGCCGATGTCGACGATGGGAAGGTCGTGTTCGTCCCGTGGGTCGAAACCGACTTCAGAACTGGCGAAAATCCATGGTGGGCTTAAGCCTCCTCTTCATGTACATCTCTCCACATCCAACCCTTCAATTTGATCTCTCAATTTTCTTGTGCTATATGTTATAGCCATGTTGGTTGCCATATATTAAGATACAATGCCATTGATATTAACTTCATTTTGTATTCCGTACATGAACGCACACTCGATTATATATAATTCTTAAAAGTTCTTATTATTCACGACTCGAGCTTTAAATCTGTCTAATTTATCCTTGCAAGTGATCAACATCATCTCAATAGAGTTATAGATCAGAGTAACGAGTATTTTACATGGACGATGGATAGTCGAGGCATTTAACTTTATATTAATATAAAGGTTGATGGGCAATTTTGGAATTTTGTAATTATTTCAATATTTAATTTCCAACCAACGTACCCGCGTAAATATATAATAAGTTATTTGGATATGTATAGATATCTTTATATTTATATCTAAAAAGTAAGGTAGGAACGGAATTAGGGTGGGATTAGGGATTGGGAATATAATTTGTGTTCCCATTGTCACAGTCACACTTCCGAAGCAGCGGACTTAACGATAGTGCAGTACTTCGAACAAGCCAGCCATGTGAAAATTAGACTTTGTGGTCAATTTTGGCGTATGGTCGAGCGTCATGCTAAGTTTTGAGAGAAAAATTTATAGAAAACGTGGTTGAGGACAACCGTTGAAAACAAGTTGGCACTACTTGGTCGGGAGGAGGTTTGATCACTACTTGGTCTCCATTTTGAGGCGATTTAGGTTTAACGGGCAGACATAATTTTGCCAAACCGTAATACGAACAAAAAGTACAACATAAATGCGAATAAAGGGTTTGACTTATCATGATATGCAACTATAAACAACACGTTCTAGACGAGAATGACCGTGACACCCGACTCCTTTACTAAACGGGTCAGATCTCAAGGGATAAAGGTAACACCTTTGGTAAATTCTCTAATTTCCAAGAAAAATTTACTCGGTAACTTTTTAAAGTATAATGATGATTTAAGAACCGCAAGTTTTTTACTTTCTGGTTTAATTGAAAGCCCCAAGGAAAAATTTGTCACAAGAAAGCGAATGGGAAGAGAGTAAAAAAAGTAAAAAAAAGCACCCAGATTTGACATTTACAGTGTAGCGAAAAGACAAAAAAGCCCCTCCATCATCCCTTATTTTTGTCCACTAGCTTCACGTGAACCCGACAGGCTCCAAAAATTACAAAACAAACGGATCCCAACCCATAATTACCCCTACGCCCACTACCAAGCAAGCCAATAACCAATAACCAATAGGGGTATAATCGGAACCAGAGAAATGGACGGTGGCGATGACGACTGCGCTTTTTCCATCTGTAACGAATCGACGGCCAGCGGCATGTTTTCTTGGTCCGGACTACACGTAGACTCGTGAGGAGGGTGGGCACTGTACATGATGGCTCGTAGTACGGCCGAAACGGTGGGGATATACGCCGTTTTGTTACGGGCGAGGAGCCACGTCAGCCCCATGAGCTGGCAGTCTCTGTTGAACATTTTACTCACTCTGTCGCTGGTGGCGTTCTTCTTCGTTGCCGTAACCTGGATTTATCAATCCCGACAAAGAACATTATATACTCGCGTCCAAACACACCTTAGGGGCTGATTTGCAAATAGGAAAAAATAATGGGGGGAAATAAAAATAATAAGAAATTCCGAGGACCAAACTGTTACAAATTATGAAACATTTTAATTAAATTAAACACAAATTGTTATATAATTTTAATTTAATATTACCTTTTGAAGGGCGCCAAGGCATTTCGTGCAACCGGAATAAGATGAGTTCCGGCAATTCTTTTCAAGATTACGGACGGCGGCCGTCGGGGTGGCGTTCCGGTAGCCGTCGCGAACGCCGTCGCCGGAGACATTAAAGGCAGCGGGGCAAGACAACGAGCTAATTTGATGAAGCCGAATCCCACAAAAGCACAAAACGGCGTCGCAGCTCGCATTCGGCTGTGGAATCTTTATATTTCTACTCAACAGCGACGCCTGCAGCGAGTTCACGCATTTCTGTGAGTCATCCGGCATCATCGGAAGGTCCGACGGCGCCGGAGTGGTAATCTTCAGGGCGGCGCGTGCATGAGCGGCAAAAAGCCACGCGGCTAGAACAGGACAGCACCGACTCCGGTCCAAGTCTCGACCGCAAGCTTCCCTAACGCCGCCGAAAAGCTCGTCGGAGAGATCAAGATGGCAAATTTGCATCTGGGTTTGGACCGGAAAGGCCGGAACCGTGTTGGAGGATGAGTATTCGCCGGGATTTAGTGGCTGGCTTTGGCCGGAAACCGGTTCGATGAGAAAACCAGCTGAAGTTGAATGAAAATTTGTAGCAATGCTTAAGAAAACGAAGCAAATTAGACATTTTTGGGCGAAATGAAGCATTTTTGGGGGAAATGAAGAAATGGGCATGCTTGTTTTTGCTAATTAGAGGTTTGGTAATGGAGAAAATATGATTAGAATGGGAAAAGAGTGATGAAATGTGTAAAGATTAGGGTTTTAAAAGTGGGTTTTTTTCAAGCTTTTGGAGAGGATTCAAAAACATTCTCAAATGTTGAACAAAACCCACAAAAAAATGAAGGGTTTTGAAGAGAAAAGTGGAAGGAAGAAGAGGAGAAATCTCAAACAAAAATGAAATGGCATCACTAGAAGGAATGTTGGTTATATATTGCAATATAATGCCTCAATTATTTCGCACTAAGTTCATGTGTTGTTTGTAAAAGGAGAGGGAAATTGGTAGTGGGAGTGTTGAGGATTGGTTTGGTGGAGAGGAAGAGAGAAAAGGAAAGGAAAGGGGAAGAGAATGGTACAAAAGATTTGTTTTCTTTATCTATTTGAATGGTGGGGAGAAAATGAGATGAGATAGTGATATGAAAGAAAGCAAAGCAAAGCAAATCACTATTGAAATTTGGTGTATAAAGTGAAATGGTTCTATGTTTTGGGAGTAGGGATGTTTCCATAGATCTATCTCCAATCTTACGAGCCAAACACCTTGCTATAATGGGGTTTGCGTTTCTGAGTATTGGGTTCTTTTAGGGCTTTCGAACTTTTCGTTTAATTATAAGTTTAGTCTCTACACTTTCAAACGTTGTGAGGCTGACAACGATATGTAACGAGTCAAAATAGACAACATTTCTTAGTGGTGGGTTTGAGTTGTTACCAATGATATCAAAGCCAACCACTGAACAGTGTACCAACGAGGACGCTGGCCTTGAAGAGGGGTGGATTGTGAGATCTTACCTCGGTTGGAGAGAGAATAAGAGTGTGGAAACCTCTTCCTACTAGACGCGTTTTAAAACCGTAAGGCTGATAACGATACGTAATGTACCAAACAGACAATATCTGAGAACGGTGGGTTTGAGCTGTAGTTAAAGTTCAATGACCCATCAAACCTATGAATGAAAGATTCAAGATCGAAACTTGTAAGCTAATCAAAATAATTCTATACGAAAGTTTTCAATTCGAGCTTAAGAACACTCCAATTTCATTTGACTTCGTCTCTATATAAGGTGAGATAGTTGCATCACATGATTCATCAAAGAAAAAAAGCTTGATGTGTAATGATACCAACAATGATTTTGAAGGAGATCACAATTGTTTATGAAAAGTTTGTTCTATTAAATTCCCAACCTAAAAAGCTTTGTCAATTGAATTGCATTATAAATAAAATATTGGGTTCTTTCTCTAAAGTCTCATGGGTCACCTTTGTTGATCATTTTTAATTTTAGTATAAAGTTGGAATGAAATAAAAAGTACCCATTATATGCTTCTTTTCATTACTCTTTTTAGATATGGATTAAACTAAATACTTATACTCATACTTGTCCGCTTTGACTCGTTATGTATCATAGTCAGCCTCGCGATTTTATGATGCATATGCTAGGGAGAGGTTTTCACACTGTTACGAAGAATATTTCGTTCCTCTCTTCAACTAATGTGAGATCTCATAATCCACTCCCTTGTGGGCCAGTGTCCTTGCTGACACACCACTTGACGTCTGGCTCTGATACTATTTGTAATAGTCCGAGCCCACCGCTAGTAGATATTGTCTCGCTTTGGCCTGTTACGTCTCGTCGTCAACCTTGCAATTTTACAAAGCATATGCTAAAGAGAGGTTTTCACACCCTTCTAACGAATGTTTTGTTCTCCTCTTCAATTAATGTGAGATCTCATAATCCATCACCTTGAAAGCCTAGCGTCCTCATCCAATGTCTGATTCTGATATCATTTGTAACAGTTAAAGAAGAGGGTTGGAGATTTTGTGAGGTGAGGTCTATGAGTGAAGTGTTATGTGGATGAGTTTACAGACATCCTTTTCTTGCTTTGCGTGCGTTACAGCCATGGCAGACTCAAACCCATCTTTTCTCTCTCATATCTAGAGAGAGAGAGAAGGGAAAGGTTCACGTGGAGTGGCCACCAACGTTCCACTTTCCCACTACAAACATACTATCAAGCTTTCACATTGTTATTTTAATCTGTATGGACACTTCAAAAAGCAACCAAAAAGTGTTTTTGGCGATTTGGGTTTCTTTCTAATCCCAAATACAATTCAAAATCTTCAACTTGGAGGCTTAGTTTTGGTGTTTTGTACACAACTTTATTCCTTTCTTTTTCATTCAGGACAAATGTCGAACACCTTATGGGCATTGGAACATGAGATAAAGGCACCAATTATTCCACCAAAAAGTTTAGGCTCTGATTATGGGTCCCTTTTGGGGTCCAAGAACTCAATTATGGGTTAGGAAAAGATAACGAAAAAGCTCAACTTTATAATGATTTATTGAATCAATGCTACAATATCATCCATCATACATTACATGCACAAGAGGCTTTGTTTTAGCAGCCAAGGCTTGGTAATTGAGCGGAGGGCGCTACGTGCTTTTGGAGGTACCAAGTCGGCTATTTTTGTGAGTGTCTCGTCATCTCTTCTTTGGTGTCTCTTCAAAATTACTCTAGAATTATTTGTATATCTTATTGGAGTCTCGAGTCAGGTTTTGACCCATTGTTCTACTCGTCGATTTGAAGCTTTTCCACCTCCTCAGCAACCATTCAAGTCTTTCCTCTTGTTCAATTTGAAGGTTGGATCTCCCTTTTTTTTTTTTTAAGTGATTCATCATTTGAAGCTTTGCTAAATCATCGTTCGTCAATCAACCTTGTCGCTCGTGTTTTCAAGGATTGTTGTGTCTTGTGGTTGTGATTGCACCAACAGGACAATTACCCACAAATTTGTTTGATATGACACACGATCTAAATATACTGAAACAAATAAATGAAATAGAAAGAACAACTTGAGGGGAGAGTTTCTTGGAACAAAGAATCTTAACACAAATCTGTCTCTATGAATATTGCTTGAGATGGAGAAAGAACAGTGTGCGGTCTACTTGTTCAATGTTAAAACCTTTTCAATTGCAACTTTAACTCGGTTTTTCATAAAAATGAATTTTTCATCTGGGTTTGTGTAGTTAGTTCCGAATCATAAAGAATCAACATCGTATTAGAAACATAATTAGTACAACCAGAATCAATCCACCGTATATTATACGATTAGTTCAATTTGATTCATCGTGGAAATTAAGATACACAAAAAAAACAAAAAAAACCCCTAAATATCCAAAAAAAAAAATTACATGAGATCATTAAAGTCCAAGCCTTCAGGAATTTCAAACTGCAAAAAATTACTACAAAAACTGTCTCTCTCATCCTCATGGCTGCTGTTGTTTATGCAAGTAGATGAAGAATTCAACGGCGTGGGGCTTGATTTTGGCGTTGATATAACCGATTCAAACCCTAAATCTGAAGCCATAGGTATCAAGCCATCATCACCACTCAAATTTGGAGCTAAGAAATTCATATGTTCTTGAGAATTTGAGTACTCAACGAAGTTTGTGATGGGTATCATTGAAGAGTTTGTGTTATTATTGAATTCCTCGTTGGGCTGTAAGAGTTGTGATAATGTGTCCATTTGAGCTTGAATTTGAGCATGATCTTGATTTTGGAGATGGGAATTGTTGGCATTTGGGTCTCTTTCTTGTTTGAGGGCTAAGAGGGTGGAAATTAGCCTTAGAGATTCAGGGTTTAGAGTTTGAACTTGGTTGTTTAATAACGTCGAGAGACCGAGGATTGGGTGGCTGCGGATGGCCGTGGCGATGATGGAGGATAGATCGAGAAGATCGATTCGTGGAGTGTGGGTTACAGGGTCGATTCCCATTCGAAGGAGTTTTTTTCTAATGTGAGTATTCCAGTAGTTCTTGATCTCGTTATCTGTTCTTCCAGGTAAACGAGCCGCTATTGCCGACCATCTAAGACAACAACAAAAATCAACCATTTGTGAGTATCATGCTAATTTCCTATGTAACCGTCCAAACCCACCACTACCAGATATTGTCCTCTTTGGGCTTTCCCTTTTCGACTTGCCCTGAAAGTTTTAAAACGTGTCTATTAGGGAGAGATTTCCACACCCATATAAAAAAAATGTTTTGTTCCTCTCTCCAACCGATATGGGATCTCACAATCCACCCCCATTCGGGGCCAACGTCCTCGCTGACACTCGTTCCCCTCTTCAACTGATGTGAGATCTCACAATCCACACTCTTTCGGATCCCAGCGTCCTCACTAGCACACCGCCCAGTCTCCACCTTCCTTCGGGGCTCAGTGTTCTCGCTGGCACACTGCCTAGTGTCTACCCTCCTTCGAGTGTGAGATCTTACATCAGTTGGAGAGGGAAACAAACCATTCTTTACAAGAGTGTAAAAACTTCTCCCTAATAGACACGTTTTAAAATCTTGAAGGGAAACCCAGGAGAGAAAACCTAAAAAAGACAATATCTACTAGTGGTGGACCAGAGCTCATAATTTAGAGAAAAAAACACGATTATTCTTACTTGTTTCCCAAGACACTATGCAATTGGATTATAGTCTCTTCTTCCTCAAAAGAAAACCTTCCTCTCTTAATATCAGGCCTCAGATAATTAGTCCACCGAAGCCTACAACTTTTCCCACATCTTTGAAGTCCTACAAAAACATCCCAACAAAAAGGCCTCAACTTTTCATTTCAGCTCTTAAATTTCAACACACAAACAAGAACACACAAGAACAAACAAGAACACACAAGAACACACAAGAACAAACAAGAACACACAAGAACACACAAACAAGAACACACAAGAACATACCAGCATTCTTAGGAAGATTACGCCAATTCCCAGGCCCATGAATTTGAACATAGCCAACAAGCTTCTGATCTTCCTCAGGAGTCCATGGACCCTTTTTCAGGCCATTCTTATCACAGCATGGAGCTCGTCCCATTCTCAGTTGCTACTTAGCCAACACCTTGGACAGTTCGTTCCTTAAAAACAGGGTCAAAGGAAACAGGAGCTGGCAATGAACTGTATTATAAGACACTAATAATCATAAAGATGAGCTTTTTATATACACATCATTGAGGGTAGGAGCTGAAATGTGACATGTTACAAGTCAAACGTATTTGGTGTCGACGTGTTCATTTCGGACACGTGTTTATGTACGTATGGATGCATGCATGTACATGTATGTTGTTATTTTGTCTTTTAGCTAGAAAATGATGAAATGAAGTCAAAGTTTAGGTGACATGTTAGGGGGTTGACTTTGTGAGAAAGCGACCATGCATTCATACATGCATGGTTATGTAGATGCACATGTGCATACATGAGTTGACATGGGAAATGCCTAGAAATTCTTGCTTTCCTAGCTTTTTACAAGTATTGTTCGAGAAAATTGTGATGGGTTCGGTTCTGATTCTGATGCTACTGAATCCAAAAAGTTAAGCTAACGAGTTATAGGAAATTGAAGGTTAAATTGTAAGTTTAGTTTATGAAGTTTCATATTTGTCGTCTAATGGGTCTATAATTTGCTTTAGAAAGTATATATCTAATAGGACTCTGAATCTTCGATTTTGTAGCTAACATGTTATAATTAAAAGTTTAAGGACCTATTAGATATTTTTTCAGAGTACTTTAGGGGTCTATTTGACAAAAATCTGAAAGTTCAGACTAAACTGATAATTTAACCTAAATATGATCTTTTATCGATAGATTTACAAACGGGTCTTTGACTCGAGTAGCATGGACCATACATACATACATATCATGATGTGGATGTACATGAGTTGACATTGAGTAAAAGTTTGAGAAAAAGAGGAGAGATTAGGAGCTAAGTAAAGGCCTAAATAAGCTATGTTTTGATTTGGGGGGAGTTGACATTTGGTTTTGTGTTATATTGACTTATGGGAATGATTGGACGGTCATGGTAGTTAAGTTCTCCCATCAACTTCGTAGAAAAATATGTTTTACATTTCATGTTTTTGGTCGTGTTTCATTTCCTCCTTCAACATTGCTTCTAATTCTAAGCCAACTAATTAATTGGATAGATTCGAACTTTATAATATATGTTAGGACGTTGTTACGTTTATGTCGGATATCTAAATTCTCTGTTTGTTAGCTAAAAGTCGAAAAATCCGTGTGCCTATAAGTAAATATAATACTTCAATAGATATAAGTCGATCTTTTGAATGATATCGGAAGTAAGCTCATACGAAAATAAACCTACGAAAAACATATATCGCTCTAAACTATATATTAAGATTGTTCGGCTACGTATATAATACGTTTTGGATTACCTTAAATTTCTTTTCCTTGTATGCGAAGCAAGCTTGCTTGGAAAAAGTAGTTCTTTCTTCTTGAGAAGAAATTGCCAATTTTTCAAATAGATAAGAGAATAATAGAATTTTCAATTAACGTGAAAATAAGGTTAAGTTTTATAAACGTTCGAGTCAACTTATATACATTTCAACTGATTTTTCTGGATAATCGTCTAACCCTAATATGTTTAGTCCTAACAAACTATAGCATTACGTAAGTGACTTTTCTAACGAACCTTAGGGTTAGGTATTCATGTGTTGAAATGCACATGCATATATGTCGTGTACTGTGGATAATCAGCTCGGAGATCTCATGAAAATGTAACAATTAACTATAATTTCACGAGACACTATGCTGGATCAAACCCAACTCCACTACGTTGAGGTAAAATCTCTTAGAACTCTGACTCATACACCACCAGAATTGACCCATCAATTCAAGGATTCATTTTTAGACAGTTCAGACTCGAGTCCCTCAAAACATATTGTATGTTTGTGATTACGTGTGCATGTATGTTTGAATATTTTTTATACTCAATCTTTTTAGATAACGACCTGAACGTACATAACGGGTTATGAAGCATTTGCTAATCATATCGTCGAGTTTATCTTACCCTAATCTTTAGGGATCATAAAACGTTATTCAAACGTGAGATTCATAATTCAATGATGAGTCATCAAGTCTATGATGAGGCATTCAAATGAGGGCCTTGAATTTAAGTTAAAATAATAGAAAAAGAGAATCTAACTTGATTTTGGATGGTTGAGCAACAAAATATTATAAAAATGCCCTAAAAACGTCGCCGTTTTTACACACAGCCTCTCATTTTTCTTCATTATCAGCAACAACAATGGCGTGTAAGTCCAGATCTCTTCACCTACAAATTTCCAAACTCTCCAAGCTGTAGCCTTAGGTTCTTATGAACAAGACCACTAGAATCCCGCCACGTGGAACAAACACACAGTACAAAGTCAACTCAAGCTCATCTTATGTTGACATTTGTTCACTGTAGCAGAGCAATAATCAGCATATAATCATGTGGCTGAAAATTGTTTGTCTGTCTGTCTGTATTTTGGTTGGGTATCAAATTCAAACTCATTGAATCGGGTGTTAAAGTCTTACCTTGGCTAGTTAAGAGGAAGACCGTAGATGTTTAAGTAAGAGACGCTATTTGTATTGGTATCAGACATTTCGAGAAAACAAGTGAATATTCAAAAGTAGCTAATATCATACCATCGTGGAGCTTCGTTGTTATTCTATCATTCTAATGATCAAATCGGGAAGGTTCTTCAACTTCATGACAATACGCTTAAGTGATCAAATGCTTTGTTTTCCATAACTTTAGTTCTTTTAAACGAACTTAGATGAAGTGTGTTGAAGTTTTACAGTGACTAGTTAAGGGAAAGATCGTTATCTCCATCGGTATGAGGTATTATGGGAAGATCAGTGAATATTCAAGCGAAACTATGTTTAAAGTAGAGAATATCATACCATTGTGGAGTTTCGTTGTTGTTCTATCATTCTAATGATCAAATCGTGAAGGTTTCTTAAATTTGATGACGATATCCTAAAGCGATCGTAAGCTTGATCGTAATCCATTGTTGGTAGAGGGAGATCTCTTTTTTCAATATTTTAAAGTTATAGCCATACTGAGTGCTTGGTTGGCTTTGACCGTATGGCCATGGTCATCCACCAAATATAAACACAATAGAATAATGTATGTGTTGTTAAACTACAATACGTATGTACAAAAAGCTCCAAATTCCCAATAATATTATGTATGAAGCTCCTACGAACTCTCTAATGTCGTATCAAATAATAGTTTTCTTTATATTCTAAAATTTTTCAATTTATAATTTGCTTTTGATTGATGAATCATTCCAACCACTCATGTGCCATTTCACATTTTGTTCATACCTTTGTCTCGAACTTTTTTCCTCGATCGATTTTGAATTTGGAGCTCATGCCTAAGAGTAATCACCGTTAGAGTCCTCGATCGTTGCTCGATTCTGGGTCGCAGAATTTGTTGGTTGTTCTTCACTCTCACTAGTTGTGCCTTCAAGGATAACTTCATCTCACAAATATAGATTATTTTGCGGGTTCAATTGTCTTGATCCACTAGCAAATCTCTCTTTCCTGTTTGTTCTTAGTGTTCGAGTTTTGTTGAATCAATTTCGTCTCCGATAAAATCGACCATAAATTGGTTCCAAATTGAACAGAACCATTAGTTCTAAATTGGAAGAATTAAAAGTATAATTTCATCAATTGTAAGTTACTGTTGCTATATGAAGGTGATGAAGATAAAGGAAGGACGACAAAGTATATGAAGGTGATGAAATGCAACATGCTAAACATCTAAAATATATTCATATAAGCCTTCAATGTTGAAGATTGTTGGGAAGGAGTCCCACATTAGCTAATTAAGGGAATGATCATGGATCTATAAATAAAGAATATATCTTCATTGGTATGATATCTTTTGGGGAAACGAAGAGCAAAGTCATGAGAGCTTAGGTTCAAAATAGACAATATCATACCTTTGTGGAGATCCGTGATTCCTAATATAGTATCAGAGTCATGCCCTTAACTTAGTCATGTCAATGAAATCCTCAAATGTCGAACAAAGAAGTTGGGACCCTTGAAAGTGTAGTCAAAAGTGACTCAAATGTCAAATAAAGGGTGTACTTTGTTAGAAGGCTCCCGAGAAAGGAGTCAAGCCTCAATTAAGGGGAGGTTGTTCAAGGACTTCATAGGCCTCAGGGGAGGCTCTATGGTGTACTATGTTCAAAGGGAGGATTGTTGAGAATTGTTTGGAGAGAGTCCCACACTAATTAAGGGAATGATCCTGGGTTTATAAGAAATACATCTCCACTGGTATGAAGCCTTTTGAGGAAACCAGAAGCAAAGTCACGAGAGATTATGCTCAAAGTGAACACTATCATATTATTGTAGAGAGTCGTGGTTTCTAAGATCTAATAGATATACTTATAGCTCGTAAGAATCCCTAAGAAGAATCCAGACATGGTTGCACATACCAAAAAAAAAAAAAAACAAAACAAAAATGGTGGTCAAGAGAGAGACAAATATGATTACTGCACAGAGTGCGAAAGCATTTGTATAGACAATTGCACTCAAAATATGTAATACAAATGAGAATAAAAGTAGAAGCTGGCAGAATACAAAATTTACCAAATGCAGAAGACCCAACAATACAGTACAAATGCATATCTATCAGGTATTTAGAATATTGCTATAACTCTTTAAAGTCTTATCTCAAATTAGGCGGTGAGTGCTCCAATTGATGTCATCAGCTCTCAAAAACCACTCTCTATGCTGTATTCACCCAATCATTCATTTTGTTACGGCCTCGTTAGCTGTCTGTGATCCAGCCCTCTCATCTCTTTTCTTCTTCTCTCTATAGGCAAAAACAGAATGGAAGAGCACTGGTTAATTATACCATGATCCACCCAATTCTGCCTCATTTTTAGGCCTCCACAAGACTCAAGACCCAAGACCCATGTAATAATCCGAAATTTTCTACTTCATTTAAAGTCGCCATTGTATACATATCATAACCATTGAATGCAGAAATACTTCATTTAAACTTTCATAACATCACCTTCATCTTAAAACACAGCCAACCTCACTCAAGATCCATGTAACAACTCGAAATTTTTTACTTAATTTAAGGTCGTCACCGTATACATGTTATGAACATTGAATGCAAAAATACTTCATTTAAACTTTCATAAAACATCACCTTCATTTTAAAACACAATCAGCCTCACTCAAGATCCATGTAACGATCCGAAATTTTCTACTTAATTTAAGGCCGCTACTGTATACATATCATGAACATTGAATGCAGAAATACTTCATTTAAACTTTCATAAAACATCACCTTCATCTTAAAACACAGCCACCCTCACTCAAGATCCATGTAACGACCCGAAATTTTCCACTTAATCTAAGGTCACCACTGTATACATATCATGAACATTGAATGCAGAAATACTTCATTTAAATTTTCATAAAACATCACTTTCATCTTAAAACACAGCCAACCGGTGGATATCTAGTGAATATAAATGATATGACGGTGAGTTGCAGAAGATTTGACAAATACTGGATTGTTTTCAAAACGATTATGGGTTCATAAAATCCAAGAAAATATGGTGGTGTGAAAGAGCAGATTGTGGGTATGTTAATCTACCAGGCCAGGAACCATGAACTTAAAAATCTCTTACCTATCAACGTATTCCTTTAGGAGCTCCTTCGCCTGAACCAACTTCGAAAGCAGGTTGCGGTATACATCAAGGTCTCGGTCCACACTTTTTTTGTCAACATTTAAAGCGGCACAGAGCTGTTCAGAAGCAGCAAAGTGTTAGATGTCAACACTTGGTAAAATCTCCATTACATGGCTTTAGAAAAATAAAAGTATGTTTGGAGATAGACACGCTAAATAGAGATGGCCAATTAAAGCAATAGTTCATGATAACTGTTGTTGATGGGGGCAGTGGAACATATGTATGTTTCCCTTCACAAGAGCTAATAAACTGAATGAAAAGGACCAGCTGAGACTACTAAAGAGCATAAACTACATCCACAAGATCAGTACAATCTCCACAAAGGAGAAGGAAATCCCACAAAAACACTGTAATTGTGTATGTGGGATTGTCCCGAGCAAAGGGGAATGTTCCAAAAAATGGTTAGCTCATATTTCTCTTCAACCAAATACTACAAAAAGATTGGTGTTACCTAGAAAAGTAAAATGGAGACTTATGCAGGAAAGAGTACCTTGAACCTAATTCTATCGAACTGAATAAGGTTAAGCACTCTTCCATCAGGATCCAATTTCTCTAATGAGTAAAAAGATAATAATGAGCAAGAAACACAATTACACTTTACGAATGGCAGCACTCAGAGAAAGAATATAATCTATAAGTAAAAGTACTATGAGAGGAGGGGCTGGCTATCATGTAAATGTTTAATTTAGCAATAATAGGCTTGATATACTATCACCTCAAAATCGTCATCTACTTAAAAGCTATATCACAAAAAGGAAGATAAAATAAACCTTTTCCAAGATACTGGGTTCAGTAGCATTTGCCAATTCGAGGAGTCGAAATAGCCCAATAGCAAAAAATCGGCTGTAACTGAAACTCCCCTTACTCGCAGCTCGTTCTGCAATGTCTTTCAAAACACTCTCAACTTCTCCTTCTTTTGATGCAAATTCAACCAATGAAGCTGCAGACTGAGACCGAGCCCACTCTTCCAATTTTTGAGCATCAATTCTGGACGGTATAACAGAAAGTAGAGCTAAAAATGAAGAAAAACCTTCTTGAAATTATTGGAATAATGGTCGAAGGATGGATTATAATTTCCAGTGAAGAAAATTTCACTCTTGGAGATATTGAACAAAGAGTAAACATCCGTTAATTTGATTACCATGTGATTTGACCAAATAATCTAGTCATTTAGACAACTAAGTCCAAATTAAGATGTGAAATACTAGGAAAGAAGATTAAAGTTGAAATAAGAATCGTCGTATTTTTGCTGTAAGTGGAATCATGTCATGTTTTTTTCAACTTAACAGTGTTTACTATCTATGAACAAGGCTTGTGAATTTATTAGATGGCAAGAAGAGATAGAGATCAGGGATGGTAAAAGCAAAGGGGAATACATGGCCAAACCTATATTGCTCTGGATCCTCATTCAACGCCTTAATGTAGGCTTGGAAAATGGCCTCCCGATCCTCATCGCTAGGGTACCCATCCATAAGCTGATCATATACAGTAACAAAACCGAGGGCGAAAACAGGATCATAACGGTACGTCCTCTTATACCTCATCAAATGCTGCTGCACAATCAACTCTTGCAGAACAGAGTTGTATATGCTGGGGATAGGTCGTTTATACGCCTTTAGAAAGTTCAATTTAGTCTCAGCTACAGTCGTCACATCTAAAATCCGAAAATAGCACATCATTTTCTACACTCAAATACTAAGAAATCGAACTAGAGAAATCTCAACATACTGAACAAGTTTAGAATTGATCAAACCGAACTATTGAAAGCCTAATTGTTACTTAAAACCTAAATTTCCGTCCATAACGATCCATCTCAACAATTAACGAACAAACAAAACACAAGTTCACATCGAAATCATCGAAACAAGCCAATTCGTTTCTGCTACCATAATCTAGCAAAGGAACAGTCTAGTAAGCGAGTAAGGAAAACAAATCACCAGAAGCTACCTGTTCCGGCGGACATGCAATGAATGACCAAGCGAGAACTGAAACTCGAGGTTCGAACTCCCGAATGATGATAGAAAACACTAGAACGGAAACGAAACCCGTCGAAATTCGAGGCGAGTGAACGAGCCGACGGAACCGGCGACCTTCGATCAGAAAACTGACTTACCGTTGAGAATGACACGGAATTAACAGCCGCCATTGCAGAAGAATGAGAAGAAATTTGCAAATCTTACGAACTTCCAGAGAAACAGGATTTCATGTCGAAGATTTTTTCTGGGAGAAGAAAAAAAAAAGAAAAGAAAGAAACAAGAGAGGACGAAACTGAGAGGCCATGATAGAGAGGCTTATCCATATTTTAATTTCTTAACCTTAGCTAAGAAGCCATTAGGATGTCGACACCTGGCAGTGTCCGTATTTTGATTTTCCATTTGGACGGTCCAGATCTTTTGATGTCTCCTTTTCCACCTTAAAATAAAATAAAATTTTAAAAGAGAAAATAGTTCAGAATTGGGCCCAAACATTTAGTCCATAACCGAGCAACACTCAGATTCGAAGGATTTATTTTTTAATTATTAAAAAAAATACTAATTTTATTTTACGTGCTCTTTGTATTTAAATTTTATTATTGATTAAATTTTTTATCGAAAAAATCTAACCTAACCCAACTCGAACTATAACAGTTCAAGCCCACCACTAGCAAATATTGTCCGCTTTGACGCATTATGTATCATCGTTAGTCTCACGATTTTAAAACGCGTCTGTTAGGAAGAGATTTCCACATGCTTTATAAAGAATGTTTCATTCCTCTTTCCAACCAACGTGAGATCTCATAATGTGATGTTCCACATTGGTCGGGGAGGAGAACAAAACATGCTTTTATAAGGGTGAGGAAGCCTTCCCCTCACAAACACGTTTTAAAGCCTTGAGGGGAAGCCCGAAGACAACAATATATGTTAGCAGTAGATCTGGGGGCGTTACAAATGGTATCAGAGCTAGACACCGGACTATATGCCAGCGAGGAGGCTATTCCCCAAAGGGTAGGCATGAGACAGTGTGCCAGTAAAGACGCTAGCCCCAAAGGGGAGTGGATTTGGCGGGGGTCCCACATCGATTGGAGAAAGGAAAGAATGTCGACGAGTACGTTGAGCCCCGAAGGGGGTGAATCGTGACCTCCCACATTGGTTGGGGAGAAAAACAAAACACCCTTTATAAGGGTGAGGAAACCTTTGCCTAGTTTTAAAGACATGAGTGAAGCCCGAAAAGGGAAAGTACTGTTACACATAATCCACCCCATTTGAGGGCCTAGCGTTGGCACACTACTTAATGTCTAGCTCTGGTACTCTTTACAACTGTCTAAGTCCACCATTAATAGATATTATCAATTTTGATTCGTTATAATCACCGTCAGCTTCACGATTTAAAAAAAAACATACAGTAGAGAGAAGTTTCTACACGTTTATAAGAAATATTTCGTTCTTCTCTTTAATCGACGCGAAATCACACCCAACCTAATCTAACCCGAACTCGAGGCCATACATGATGATGTTATGTACTAAAATGTTCTAATTGAGAGTAAGCCATGGCACTCTGTTTTTAAAATCCTGCTGGTTTCCCATTATCCAGGGGGGAGAAAAAACCACGGTTCATGAAGCCATTTGTTTTGGAATCTTACTCCAAAACCCAATCCTACCCCTCCATTTCCACCTCCAAACCGCAGTTTCAAGGGACATTTTAGTCCAATTACAGAAAAAAAAACATGGGTCCCATAAAACCTTAAACCAGACCACCACGCTGTTTCTTCCTCCAAAAACCAGGGGCTCCACTTGAATGGCTGCGGGCAGCTTCTCTATAAAAACCACCACCCCCACACTCCCCCCTTCACCAAAAATCAAAACTCAAAGACTCACAAAGAACAGAAATGAGCTCCTCAATTAGATCAGCTTGGGTTGTAGCTGCCAGTGTCGGCGTTGTTGAGGCCCTAAAGGATCAAGGGATTTGCCGGTGGAATAACGTCATAAGATCGGCGCAATTCTACGCCAAAAACCATGTTGGGTCACTTTCTCAGGCCAAGAAGTTTTCCTCCTCCTCCTCCTCCGCCGCCGCCGTGGCTTCCGGCAAGCAGCAGAATCAGTCGGAGGAATCTCTGAGGACGGTCATGTACCTCAGCTGTTGGGGTCCTAATAATTGAACCGCCTCGGAGCTTCAAAGATACGCTTGAAAAACATTTAAATCGAGACTACGGCGGAACCGGCGGCGGTTCGAGCGGAGTGACACCGCCGGGCGCGGTGGTGGAGTTGTTGAGCTGATATAGATATTGATATGGTTTGGGGATGTAATTAATGGGATGCTTTGGGCGTTTGATTCTTATATGAACAATTGTAAAAGCAATTCCCCTTGGTTCTTGTTTCTTTATTAAATACAATTGATTCCTAATTCTTAATGTTACCAATTACTAACCTATACTAATTTGGTTACGATTCCACAACTTACCCTCTCGATCTAGATAAAAATTTCAAAAGATTCGACCGATCTCCGTTCTTATGACGAGAAAGCGAGGGCTCAATTTCACAAACAAAGTGGGCTCGAGTTAGGGTTTTTTTTCTCGATCTTTCTCTAATTCTAATCGTGGAGTTGGATTCAACTTTAGTCGGTTAACAAGAGGTATGTGTAGCTGAGGTTCACCCTATTTTTCATTTCGACTAGAAACATGTGAATTTAGGGTTCTTCATTAATCCATTTACGGCCGACTAGAAACACGTGAATTTAGGAAATTCGGCTCGTGAATAATTTCTTAATAATAGAATCCTTCTTCATTAATCCATTTAGGTTCGATTAGAAACACGTGGATTCAAGAAACCGAGCTCAAGAAATATTGTTCCATTTAGGCTCGATTAGGAACACGTGATCGAACACACGATTCAATAATATGTTTTTAGTCACTCAAAGGCTAATAATTAATCTTAATTAATCTTAAATAAAAAGAAAAAAGGAGTGAGAAATGACAACAATACCCCTCCCGTACAATGTACCCTGTTTCACAAAGAGCGGCAGAATCCGCCAGTTTCAAGCCCAACTCCTCCGGTTTAGAAAGGCAGTTTCTCCCGAATAATTCCAACTTTACCCCTCACATTGCTGTCAAAAGAACCCGGCCTCTAGGGGCAATCAAGTCCAAGAATTATTTACAACTTATTTATTATAATAATAAGAAATATAATCCTGGTCTCCATTAGTCACGTTTAGCTAATAAAGGAATTTCCTTTTCTACCCTTCTCTAGCTTCACTCGGGACAGGTATTACAAGACCATGAAGACCAAGATCCACAGATATTAGATATTGTCTTTTTTGGGTTTTTCCTTTCGAGTTTTCCCTCAATGCTTTAAATGGCGTCTACTGGGAGAAGGTTTTATAAGAGTGATTTGTTCTCCATCCCACAAATTATATATATATATATATATGGGAATTTAAAATAAAAAAGAAACCCATTTGAGAGGAGGAAATCAGCCGGTCGCGGCGGTTTACTTTCCTCGCTTCCCGGAATTCAAAACCAGGTGCTCAGTGGAATTAAAGAAAAAAGCCAGGGGCCTTTTTGGAATAATCTCTATAAAACTCTCAAAATATTCCAACATTTCAGAACAGAGACAGAACAGAGATGAGTTCATCAAGAACAGCTTGGGTTGTCGCCGCCAGTGTCGGACTGGTGGAGGCTTTGAAAGATCAAGGGGTTTGCCGCTGGAATCACACGATTAGGTCGGTTCAGCAGTACGCTAAAAGCCATGTGAGATCTGCTTCCCAGGTCAAGAAGCTTTCTTCGCCGTCGTCTCCGGCGGTTTCCGACCAGAAATGGAAGCAGTCGGAGGAATCTTTGAGAACTGTCATGTTCTTGAGCTGTTGGGGTCCTAATAATTGACCCACCACCCCAGATTGTTCTTCTTAGGAAAGCTTTGGATTGTATAAATTTCATTCAACATTTTTTATAAATTTTAATGAATGATTTTATTTTTGGTTTAAAATAAGATTTAAAAATTTTAATATGATAAGTGTTGGTTGATAATTACATTTATAATGAGTAATTAATATCTTTTGTCCTTGTTGAATGGACCAACCTTATCCACAAATTAAGAACGGGCCCACTTAATAGATTCGTTGTCTGAGGATTTAGAATCTAGACCCACCAGATATTGTCATACGACATGATCATATTACTTACTTTTCACTTCTAAGAGTAAAGACTATTCCCACCGACCAACACGAGTTATTCCATCATATTTTGTAAGAGATCACCCAACATAGAATTGATCCGAGTAAAGCACGTTCCGTTGTGGTATTTGATTCATTTATGTACCCCTCATTTACTCCGCATTATTTTTCGTGGGTACAAAAAGAATTCTCTTCTTTATAGATAATCTTTTTTTTGGAGGAATAATATCTATTCTTTCTTTCTATATGCTCGACATAGTTAAGAACAGTAGATTCTACCGTGCATATGCTATAGTTCTTTTTGTTAAAAGAGAATTCATTGTATGATTCAAGATCTAAATTTGTTCTCTCGAGTAGCTCTCTCCGTGTAAAGGATAATTTTAACTACACAATTATGAAATTTCATCTTAGTTAGGGGTTTCGGGTTGAAGATTATAAAATATACGTGGCGGGTTCTTCTCTCTGAACCAATTCGAGTGATGATGATGATGATTGTGAGATCCCACATTGATTGGAGGAGGAACGAAATATTCCTTATAAGGGTGCGAAAGCCTCTCCGTAGCAAACGCGTTTTAACACCTTGAGGCTGATGGCGATACTTAATGGGCCAAAACAGACAATATCTGCCGACGGTGGGCTTGGGGCTGTTACAAATGGTATCAGAGTTAGGGTCCAAACAGTGTGCCAATGAGGACACTGGGTCTCGAGGGGAGTGGATTGTGAGATCACGCATTAGATCCTACATCAGTGGTAGGGGAAACGAAGCATTCTTTATAAGGGTGTGGAAACCTCTTCCTAACCGACACATTTTAAAATGGTATGACTAACAGCAATACATAACGGGTCAAAGCGGACAATATCTACTAGCGGGCTTAGGTTGTTATAATGATGATGCTCGGAAATATGCTCACTGCTTGAGAGATTTCATTATAACGCTCTCAAGTGAGTTTCAGTCTCACGTCATAATCGAAAAGACGAGTAAAAGAAACATTAGACCTTATCCGTGGTGGAGTGTTTCGAAAATCGTTCAAATCGGTAGAGTTAGATAGCAACACACAAACAAGACAACAAAATCAGTGGGTGAGAAGCGAGTGGTTTGCTTCTCATACTTTGGGCTCATCCTCAACCCTAATTGCACAAAAATGATCCACATTTTCCCATTTTTACCCTCCACCATTCACCAACCTACACATCATCACAAGGGCAATCCAGTCATTTCACATCAAGTGAAGAACCCACCACCTTGTACGAACTCAGTTTTTCAATGATTAGCCAGAGGTTTTCCCCATTCCACGTTCTCCAAAACACATCTATATAAACCAACCAAACCCTTTTAACCTTAATTTCATCAAACTGTACGACACAAACAAGAACAACCAAAATGTGTAGCGGAAAATACTGGACGACGGCGGCGGCGGCGAGTATTGGGGCGGTGGAGGCGTTGAAAGACCAAGGCCATTTGTGCCGGTGGAATTCTGCTGTCCGGGCTCTGTCTCAGCCCAATAAACTTCCGACGCCGCTGCCCTCGTCGTCGTCATCGGCGGTTAGGGATTGTCGGGAAGAAGATCATAGTAAACCCAAGCAGTCCGAGGAATCTCTTAGAACTGTTATGTACTTGAGTTGTTGGGGTCCTTATTGATTTAGGGTTTTAATAAGCCATAAGTAGCTAATATTTTTTATTTTATGATATGATAAACGATGAATAAATATCGCGATAACTTTTCATATTTGTTGTTAATTGTCTCGTTTAGATACTAAAACGACTTTGAGAGAGCACGGGATTCAAAAAGATCACATATAGAATAAAGACGAACACAACTCTCCACAATAGTATGGTATTGTCAACTTTGAGCATAAACTCTCGTGGCTTTGCTTTGAGCTTCCCCAAAAGATGCCTCACACTAATGGAGAGAATATTCTTTGATTATAAACTCATGATCATTCCCTAAATTAGTCGATGTGGGATTTTCATCATCCAATATCTTGGACTCAAATCACTTCGACAAAGTTAGAAACTGACCTAGTAATTTAACCTAAACGTAAAAGTTCAAGAACTATCTCAGTGATTTAACCTAATTTTAACACAGAAACGTCCCAAGCATCTCGTTGTAACTCACAGTACAAATCGAGCACTTTTGTTCCTTTATGCAAAAAGCATGGGCACGATTGGGTTAGATCGGGTTGAATCAGGTCAATTCAATCGAGTTCCATGTTCATCTCCCTTATCATAACGTCCCATTATAATATTATCCCCACTTCAATAGAGGACAATAATGATAGTGGGGTCCATTGATATCACCACTAAACTTTGTTTTATTTTCATCCTTTCCCATCAAACTTTATCTTTATTTTCCATAAATTTACTAAAATTTTATTCCTTTTGTGGACCATTATTTTCTTTAAATTATCATAAAAAGCCAAAGAGCCAAAAATGTCCATTTTGTCCTCAAAAAACCAGCCTAGTAATGGGACCAACAAGGGTAATTAAGTCATTTCACCATTGTTTGTATTCTCAAAGGCAAAACCATACAAAACCATAGGCAAAAGGTTTGGTTTTTCCTAAATCCCATTGGCCAATAAATCTCAATATTCATTGGGTTTATACCGAAAAAAAAAAAAAAAAAACACGGTAATTACAGTTGTCGATAAAGAAGTCGAGCTCACTTGTAAGAGGAGATTCTCTGTTTAGACGGAGAAGGACGGAATGACGGAGTGGATAATACTTTTTTCTGTTAGATAAATGGGGTCGGGGATGGGATTAAATTCTCCATCTCCGTCCAATTCTCAACCCCGCTTAATATAAATATATTTTTATCTTATATTAAAATATATATTTAGTTGATTTTGAGATTTTAATTGTAATATTTAAACTAAAAATTAAGTTGCAATATTAAAATTTGAATTATCAGTTGTTTAGAAAATATATTAATTTATAAGGATTTTTTTATCAAAATTAAAATAAAAAATTTAAAATAACTATTTTTTTAAAAAAATAATTGACGGAGACGGAGACGGAGAATACTTTTTTAAATATTTTTAAAAATATAGACTTATTTAATAAACTTAATAAACTTGTTTATTGGTTGTTAGGTTATCCTTTTCATTAGAACGGTTTTAAAATAGTTTAGTCTACTTTCCAAGTGGTTTAAACTCTTTTAAATTATTGTGTATAAAACCAATTCAAATCTCTAAAAGGTACGATTTTTTTTAAATAACGTAAAGTAAATTCTTTATATTAGCGGTTTGAATTCACTTCTAAGCAAAGGGTTTAGAAGTTACGTACCCGAGAGCGAGTCAAATTAAGAAATGAACAAAACAAAATGCGAGCGCTCCTCTCCCTATTGGTCAAGCTGCTTCGCTCCTTCCCTTCCACTTCGTTCTTGCACGAAATAGCTTCTGGGTGTCACCCGAGATTACAAGAGGTAGACTTTCTAAAGACAACTGTTCAATTTCTTGGATTGGTTCTCGTGTCCCGACGCTCGAAAGGATAGATGAATTTAGATCTGTATGTTTCGGAAGCTGACTATTTAAGTTTATCTTCCCTAAGTGGAGAATCAAGTCTACCGAGTTATTATTACACGACTAAATACATGGATGATTGGTTTGCCACCTTATTTGAAAATTGTATTCGAAAAGTTTATTTAAAAAACGTTAGAAGATTTGAGATCTTTGATCTTCTCGTATAAAATAGTATTAATAATAATTTATAAGATTCAATCTTATAATTAAATGGGTTAATTAAACTATATATTATATGGGTTATACACTCATATAATTAATCTATATTTGTACCTACCTATTAAACTTATATATTTTAACGTAGATATCTTGTCTTATTAATTTAATTATTTAGTTGAAAAGGACCAAAAATAAAAGGAAAAGGAAGGGACCCGGATACCCTTATAATCGACCTCATCTTTGACAGGTCTATATACTTATGAGATCCCATGTCGGTTGGAGAGGAGAACGAAACATTTTTTACAAAGGGTATGGAAACTTCTCCCTAAAAGACGAGTTTTAGAACCTTGAGTGGAAGCCGTGGAAAGAAAAGTCTAAAGTGGACAATATCTATTAGTGGAGACTCTTTGTTTCTGTCACTCTCGAGCGTGTCAATAGATAGTAATGGAGGCACGAGATTCAATAGAAGAAAAAAAAAACGTAATAGAGGCACGAGATTCCCTTGCCGAAGCCCATCCATGGTCACGTGACATCCCATACTACAAATTAAAATTGCTAAATTAATAAAATATCCATAAAATTTATATTTTATTTAAAAACTATCCGTGAACTTTTAAAAATTTCAATAATATTCTTAAATTAAAAAAAATTAAAAAGATACCGGTTAATTTTGGATAAAAATGGTTAGTATTTTCTTTAAAAGTACTAGTATTTTAGAAATACGATTTAAAAATTCTATTAATATCCTTTTTTTTTTAAAAAAAAAAAATTATAATATTGTTCGTACCGTGTTTAAAAGAATATTAATGAAATTTTAAAAATAACATTAACGTTATTTACCTTTACTTTTTAAAAACTTTAAAAGATTCTTACCATCGATATATAGACGAAAATTATTTATTAACATCTTATAAATTATTCTTAATTTTTTTTTATGTTATTTTAAAAGTTTATGAGTATTTTTGAAACGTGTACTGACATTAACACGATATTTTTGAAATAAGTTTAAAAAGAAACTTTTAAATGTATTTTTAAATTAAAAAAAAATGACAAATGAAAAAGTTAATTATATTTTTATTAATTTGGTTTTTTTCTTTGTCTATATCCTATACTTTTTTGGGACCCACATAATATTAATTATTCCATTATTAATTATATAATATAGTAGCATGGAAGCCCCGTTCTACCTTAGGAGTGGGGCCCACAATCG